GTTCTGTATGCAAAAATAAATAAATCTTTAGGGGGAAAAAAAAAACAACCAATACCAGCCCTCCCTGGTGGCACAGCGGGATAAGGCACAGCATTGAGAAGCTAGAGCCACTGCAGCAGAAGTCTGATCCCCGACCCCCAAGGTGACCCACATGGCCTGGCAGACCTCTCCTGATCCGCCCACTGTGCCCCTCAGCAGTGTACTTTGCAGTCGGCCTGTTCTGCTCCCCACCCTGTCTCTGGTGAATCCTCTCATCACCCCTGCCCCTCTGGCCTTTATCCCAGTTCTGTATGCAAAAATAAATAAATCTTTTTTAAAAAATGCCTTTTATAGCTGGCTTTAAAGAAACTTGGTGAATACAATCTACCTTAGCAACACACACACACCTCTGCCAGAATCGTGAGAGAAATGAGGTACTCACTTCAAAAAAGATACTAGTTATTATACACTGGGAGATGCTAGAAGCTTAGACTTTGCAAACAGAGCTTAACAAGTGAAAATATAGTGGAAAGGAAGGTAGAAGAAAAGGAAACTTCCAGGAGTCCTAACCAGGAGCCCAGGTCCTGTTGTCCCGAACCTCCTCCCCATCTAGGGACAGCAGCCACTTTTTTCACTTGAGAACAAGCCCCCCACCTTCCCACCTTGTGGTCCCCATGATGCCCACGGAGGTTTGTCTCAGGCAACAAAGATTTAAAGATGGAGGTACAGGCAGAAAGAGGGGAAGCAACAAGAGCGCAGGCCAGAGCCCCCAGAATCCCTTCAAAGCACGGAGATGGGGGCTCACGAGAAGGAGCCACCCCGTGCATCTACAGATGGCAAGTCGGGGTCCCCTTCTCTGGCCATGCAGCGTCCCCGATGCCTGGACCACGGAGAGAGACCACCCCCTTCTGCCTGGCCCAGGCCTCACCGTGGGACTCTGGCCAGGCCTGGGGGGAGGAGGCCTGGGTGGCCAACTCACCAGGAAGTCTTCCTCACAGAACACCTTGCCGTTGACGAAATAAAAGGCTTTTCCTCTCAGCTTCCGACCTAGGGGAAAAATATAAAGGCAGGGTGAGAAGAAAATGCTGCTAGCTCGTGAAGAAAGGTAAAATCTTTTCAGTGAAACAAACGTGAAACATGTCCACGTGGACAAAAGCCTGGTTACTGCTAGCTGCTGTGGCCTCGGGGAAGGGCAGGGTGGGGAGAGGGCAGGCCTCCCAGGGGGTACTGCTCAGAGGGCAGAGGGCAGACCCCTGGGCTGACTGCGGGTTCACCCCACACCACTTTGAGCACCTCCTCTCTGCTGAGAAATAAGCCTGTAGGACAGGATGGAGAGTGGGGGTTCAACCTGGGCAAGACCCCTGAAATTGCCCAGGCCCCCTGATGTGCCCTATGACAACCCACCAGGAAGCTCCTACAAACTGATCAACTGGCAACTTCTCTACATTATCTTTTTTTTTTTTTTACTGAACACACATTGTTGAAAGGATAACAACTTTTCTTATTTTCTCTTTATCTAAATGGGGTAGGCCAGAAGCCACACAGATTTCCCAGAGATGAGGCCTCTGTGCCCAAGGCCCCCAGAACACAGGGCTTTGCTTCGGTTCCAGGAATCAGGTTCTGAAGAATCCAAACTGGGAATTGATTTGTTATATTAGAGAACAGGTCACCTGTGTTGCAAAAATCAGAGAGGAAGATCATCAAAATGCAAAAGCCTCTCACCCACTAGGATTCTGAGAAAAACACAGCAATTTCGAGCTTTTTCACGTACAATATGATAAAAGATGTTTTAAAGGATCACGTTTGCTTAGATGGTTAGCTGTGTGTTGCTGTAAGCTACTGGTGAGTATGTAAAACGATAAACTGTCCCTGGAGAGGAAACTTTATAATGTTTATTTCTAACTTAGTGGGGTTGTCTGGGACTTAGCTTAGGAAAGAATTTGAAATGTGAATAAATATTTAGATCTAAATTGCCAGCCTTAGAAAAATGATTACATGAAACAGAGTATATCTAAATGAGGATGTATTAATGGATGAAATAGTATATAATCATTTAAAATACTACTTTATACATAAAATACTACTAAACAAGTTGAAAATTCTATAGAAAAATAAAATGCCAACCTACCAATATTGAAAGATGTTTATAGCTTAGGATATTCAAAGTAAACTAGCAAATATAAAAGTAAGCTAGGCAACTGAACTTATAATATAGTTATATTTCAATAACTTATACACATACATACATTCCATTGATATGAAAAAAAAGAACTAAATGATCACACAATAAAACCAATAGTAGCTAGCACTGGAAAACAGCATTACAGAACTTTTATTGGCTATTTATTTCTAGTTAATAAATTTCTTTCATTAAAAAAATCTAGTATTGGCCCTCCCTGGTGGCGCAGCGGGTTAAAGCAAAGCACTAAGAAGCTAAAGCCACTTCCACATGAGTTCGATTCCTGCCTGCCCCGGAGGTGACCACATGGTGTGGCAGGCCTCTCCTGACCCGCCCGCTGCTCCCCTCAGCAGTGTACTTCGTCGATCTGCCTGTTCTGCTCCCCACTCTGCCTCTGGTGAAGCCTCTCACCACCCCTGAGCCTCTGGACTGTACCCCAGTTCTGTATGCACAAATAAATAAATCTTTAAAAAAAAAAAATCTAGTATTATGTAGCACTGGTAGGTTGTATTAAAGGGAAATTTCACTTGCTAATTTATACATTTCAATATTTAAACCTTTTTCTCTAGTACTAGGTACACAGCTAAATGGTATGAGAACAAATTCACTTTTTGCTTCAGACATTTCTATAATAAATTATTCTAGAATTTATAATCTGAAAAAACTAAATTTTTTTAAAACTATGTAATGTGAAAAGCAAGCTCTAAGATTAAAAAAAAAAAAAAAAAAAAACTGTATCTCAGGCCCTCCCTGGTGGCACAAGAATTGAAGTGCAGAGCTATGAAGCCAGCCACAGCCACTGAACATGAGTTCGATCCCTGGCCCCGGAGCTGACCCATATGGCGCAGCAGACCTCTCCTGTCTTGCCCACTGCTCCCCTCAGCAGTGAATTTCAGCCAATCCAACTGTTCTGCTCCCGACTTTGTCTCTGATGAAGACTCTCACCCCCTGAACCTCTGGCCTGTACCCCAGTTCTGTATGCATAAATAAATAAATCTTTAAAAAAAAAAAAAAAACACTGTGTATCTCAATTATGCAAAGAGAATGAGCAAGGAAATTTTCATGAATGGACACATGTGGTGTTGGTATAATGGGATGGGGAGATCAATAGTTGCTGCTACTTTATACTTTCCTATATTCCTCCTAAACTTTTAATATGAGCAGATAGTACTTCCATCATCCTTTTAAATATTACCCAGGGCCTTCCTGGTGGCTCAGGGGTTAAAGTCCCAGCACTATCAAGCTATAGCCAGCGCTGCAACATGAGTTCAATCCCTGCCCCAGAGGTGACCCACATGGCGCGGCAGACCTCTCCTGACCCGCCTACTGCTCCCCTCAGCAGTGTACTCTGTCGATCTGCCTGTTCTGCTCCCCACTCTGTCTCTGGTGATCCTCTCACCCCCTGCACCTCTAGCCTATACCCTAGTTCTTGTATACTTAAAAGGAAATAACTCTTTAAAGACAAATAAATGTTTAAAAAATTATGTACCCTAACAGCTGTTGGCTGCCTTCTGTGTTTCAGCTGCTGTATCGGGACTTTCATAACATTAACCAAGTCTTCAGAGTGTCCAAAAACCTCACCATCCACACTGCTGTGCCAGCAGCCTCTTTCCCACCCACTTCCTGTGCTGCCTTCTCCTCTTACAAGCCACGCGGGCATGGAGGGACTTCCGCCCGGGTCTAGGCAGAACTAAAACCAGGCACGAGAGGCGGCGTCAGGGGCATGGGATGGGGGGTGCCAGAACTGACTGACCTCACTGCAAATGGGGGTCCAGGGCTCCTCCTGACTCCTTGGGCTTCCTGTCCTCTTCCTAACTCACCACGCCCACTTCCAGCTCTTTAAATTTCTAGGCTCGGGCCCTCCCTGGTGGCGCAGCGGGTTGAAGCACTGCTCGAAGAAGCTTAAGCCACTTCTGCATGAGTTCGATCCCCGCCGGCCCTGGAGGAGCCCCACATGGCTTGGCAGACCTCTCCTGCCCCTCCCGCTGCTCCCCTCAGCAGTGTACTTCGTCGATCTGCCTGTTCTGCTTCCCACTCTGTCCCTGGTGAATCCTCTCACCCTCCGCATCTCTGGCCTGTACCCCAGGTCTGTATGAATAAATAAATAAATCTTTTAAAAATAAATAAATAAATAAATATATAAATAAATTTCTAGGCTCAGTGGGATGCGCCCAGGTAGTAAGTGGATAGATGGATCACGGGTTGTCAGACTCTGACGTGTATTGGGGTCCATGTGCCGTGGGTCCCCCACATGAAAGCCTGTGGCACTTGACTGCCCTTGGACAGTGCAGCTCTCCCCACCCAAAGGAAAAGACCTGAAAGTCCACTCTCCTCTGCCCCGTATGTGCGAGGCCTCCTTTGTGAACAGAGACAGGAGCACGTGGTGGGCATAGTGCCAACTTCACCCAAAGAGACCCGGGTTCACATCACAGCTTCGGTCATGAAGGCAGGTCACTCTCCTCGGGAACAAAGAAGCGAATTTTCATTTTCAGACCTTACCATGTACTGGGCACTTTCCTACACTGTACCCCACTTCCCTGTCTCGCCAATTCTGTCAAAATCCCTCCTGACCATGGCTCTGTGGACAGAACCTGGTGGTGCTGACGCCCATCTCCCCCGCAGGCACGTTCTGGGGACAGAGAAGCCAGGCGGGACATAGCAGGTGACCTGTCTTGAGAAGCGGGGAAGCAGAAGGGAGGCATTCTCCAGGACCACTGCAGAGCTGGCTGACGAAGCGCACTCACTAACCTGGAAACTCCTGGAATCTCTAGGTCCTGGAAGTTCCCAGCACAGGCTGGATCCAGAACAGCCTGCAGGCTACAGCAGCCTGTCACCACTAGGTGACACCAAACCACAGCAGACGCAGGACAGGTGGACACTGCACAGTGGGCTGAGCACTCCTGGCCCTGCGGGAACCCTGCGATCACATGACCCACACTCCCGGTGGTTTACCTCCCCGGAGTCGTCGCTGTGCAGGTGGCTCAAGCAGACCTGCCTACCCGACTAACACACGGTGCGGGAGTTGTGATTTGGCCCAGGGCAAAGTCAGCACTGCCCACCACACTGCATGGTCTCTTTGTTCAAAAAGGAACCTCAAAGAAAGGGGAAGAAGGTAGATTTATTGGGCTATTCCCCTGTCTCCCAGGTGGAGCTGAGATTCAAGGTGGCATACACTCAGACGTGTGACTAGGGAGCCGGCTGTGAGGTACCAGTGACCCTCAAGCCGTAACATGCGTCAGAACCACCCGGGGATCTGTTAAACAGGCTGCCAACCCCAGCCCCAGAGATCCTGACATGGTAGGTCTGGGAGGGGTCTGAGAATTCGGCCTTCTAACTCACTCCTGGGTAAGGCTGTTGCGCCCATCCCGGGGCCACACTCTGAGAACCCCCAGGTTGAGGGAGGCTCCAGGTCTGCCTCTGACCCAACATTTCCAGTTAACGCAATTCAGTCTGATCAAGCAAAAGTTCTAAGACCCCGGCCACCCCCAGCAACTGGCAGCGAACACAAGCCGTGACGGGAAGTGGGCCCCAAAGGAAGGGCTTCCCCAAGGGGGTTGCAACTGAGATGGAAAAATGCACAAAAATATGTAAAAATAAACCAATATAATAAAAATAGAAAGAAAGGGCTTCCCTCACCGTCACTCTAGTTTCAGGACCGTCCTGCTGCCAGGCCAGGATCCCCACACCAGGAAAGAGCTAGCGACATGCACACCAAAAATATACCAGTTTTCCCAGAGCTTAAGAATACAGGCGTCCAAGTTGCTCTTTATTTTCTGATGAGAATAGTTCATAAAATATTGACTAAAAAATGTACAGACGCGACTGCCCAGAGACGCAGTAAATGAATATTTTATATTTGCCTTCAGGG